TCGGAACCTGGGTGTGGGGACTCCGCTGCCACTCAGATTTTGCAAAGCACTTTTTTTTGCTTTTAATATTTCATTTGCAATTTCTACAATTTCAAAAGTGGAACACGCAGAGGTAGGAGAAGCAATACATTGCTGTAACATGACAGATTTATGTCACAGGGAAGAAATCACCTAAATTATTTGCTTTCAAAGTTATTAAATCTTCCACATCACAAGTGACCCAAGGCCTAAGAAAATATCATCAAAATCCCAGGCGGGGCAAATGCAGGCTTCCCTGTTCCACGGGAGGAATACAATAAGCCTACATAACAAAGAGCTAATATGCTAATTAGACCAAACAGCAGAACGACTGTCCTATGACCTTCCAGACGAAGTCGGGGCTGCGAAGGCCGAGCCCCTTGCACGAATTTCGTGCACCGGGCCTCTAGTTACTAAATAATACCAGGATGAACTCTGTTTCCTGTATGCATAACCATAAACACATAAAACAACTATAAACATTTAAAACAGCAGGAATACTGGTGAGTAGACACACGCTTGCGTCTGCCTCACGCCAAGCATGTCGGATGGGTAGGCTGAGGGGGGCACAGGTTCCTGGAAGGAAGGTATCGGCGACAAACAGTAGGACCCGTTGGCTCGGAACACTTCTCCGGAACCACCTTTGTGGTGAGAAAACCTTCATTTCAGTGACTTCCTCACTGTGGGTGGGTCAACGGTTTGTCTTGCTCACAAAGCGCTCGCACCCTTTACCTCAAGTGGAATGTGCAGACTGGACGTGAGAGGGCTGACAGGCTTCTTAGCCAAAAGCAGGCCATTTCGCAGGAGAGCGGGTGAGAAGTGGCTTGGGGGGGGGGGTAATGCCAGGACCATGCAGCAGGGGTCTGGGGTGGTGATAGAAGAGGGGGTGCTTGGGCCCGGCTGTTCTCACTTCTGGGGATCAGCGGCCCATCACACTCCCAGCCAGGTGAGCCTGACCGGCAGCACCCCCCAGGCCCGCCAGCCAGGTTGCCAGAGGCGGGAGGCGAACCCTTCTAACCTGTTCTCTTTGGAGCCATGCAACGGTCAGGCCATCTAACAGGAAACGGCACGCACCCTCCCGCTCTATCGGGCCAGATCCGTGAGTCACCCGGCGGCCTGCACACGGCGGTTTGCTGCTGGAAACTCCTGCTTAACTGGCGTTGTTTTAAACACCAGAGTTGCAACTTGACCTGCCATAAATCACCTTTTATTCCCTTCATCATTCCATCGTGTGTCTCCTTAATTACCCATTACCTTTCGCCAAGAACAGGAAGCACAATGGGAAAGGTATACCGCGCACTAACCTCAGGTCTACACAGTGTTCCTTCCCGGGGGAGGGGGTAAGGGAGGGAGAGGGGGAGGGGCGGGTCCGCCGCTGCGCTCAGACGCGGGGACAGTCCTCCCGGAGCGGTGCGCGGACCCCCCACACCGTGCGGAGACGCAGGGTGGCCCCCTAACATCCAGTACCCCGGAGTCGCCGCCGCACACAGGTCTTGAGCCCCTGGCTGCCGTCGGGGCTCCAGGAGGGCTCCTGGAGCGGGACGCTGGAGGCAAACCCTTGGCCCCAGACCCCGGTCCTGTCGGAGGCGCCTCCCTGCGCCCTGCCGCCCCCTGGCCCCGGGACCAGAGGCTCCTGCGCTCAGTCCCGGCTCCGGCTCCACCCGCAGAACCAGTGGCCGGAGGAAGACCCGCGGCCGAACGCTTCATTCTCCATCCACGCGACAGAGCCGGTGGCTTCCAGTCCCGCATCCCAGCCCCGGAGCAGCGAGGCGCGGGCGGCCGGAGTTCGGTTCGCGGAGAAGTGCCTGGAGCCGGGGAAGGGCCGGCGCCGCCGAGTTTCCCGGGAATCGTCACCGGCTGCGCGCCCTCCACACCGCCCCCCGCCCCGGCACCTGCCGCCCCTCAGCCTCCGAGGGTCTCCGCCGGCGCCCCTCCACCTCCCACTCCGCGCAGGGCCCCGCCGCGTCCCCTCCGCTCGCCCCGCGCCCGCGTCCGCCACCCCCGCCCCCCGCCACCTGGCCGGCGGCCCCCGCCCGCGCGGCTGCGACAGTCACAGCCCCTCGTTTCCGCGCGGCCGTCAGCGAGAGAGCCGAGCGCACAGCAGCCGCCGGGGGAGGTGGTGACGAGCCCCGCGCCGCGAGCGCTCGCTTAGCAACCGCCCGAAAAAGCCCCGCGCCGCTCACACCCGCCGCGGCCACCCCCTCGCGGCGCTCCGCCGCCCCGCCCGCCCGCCCGCCAGGCGCCCGGACCCGCGACCCCGCGACCCCCGCCGCCCCCGCGCGCAGCTCCGGCCGCCGCACCCCGTCCCTTCCCGCGGGTCCGCTCCCCCTGCGCCCCCCCCTCGCCGGGTCCCTGCCGGGCCGAGCGCGTGGGTGACAGCTCCGCGCCCCCCGGGGCCCACGGTCCGGGAGGCCGCCCGCCCACCCCGGGACCCCGCGCTCCCTCCCGACGGCTCCGCGCCCCGCGCCCCGTCCCCTCGCCCGGTCCCCGCGGCCCCGGCCGCTCGCACCTTCCTCAGCGCGGACATCCTCGGCGCTCCCGGTCAGCAGGCGCGGGGACGCATGGCGATCGGCCTCTTCGGCCGGACGGCGGCTCGCGGGTCGGCGGGTCTGTCCGAGGGTCCGTCTGCCGCCGCCGCCACCGCCGCCGCCGCCGCCGCAGCCGCGCGCTCCGACCGCGCTCGAGCCCGGTCCTCCGGCGGCGCCTGCGCACTGGGCGCCCGGGGAGGCCCGCGCACTGGGGGGCGGCCCGCGCGCGGCGGCACTCGGCGGGCAGCGGGGCCGCGCGGGGGCAGCGCGGGACCCCGGGGGCGACCTCCGCCGCCCTTCCCACCCCTTTCCGCCGGCGCTCCCTGCCGACCCGGGGAGCGCGCACCGCCCGGTCCGCCAACTGTTGCGCGGGGAGCGGCCGGTCACGCGGGGACAGCGGGGACACGAGGGTCCGGAGCGCTCCCGGCGGCCCCGGCGCTGCCCCTGAGCAGGTGCCCGAAGCCCTGGGAGTCGCCGCGGGTGCCACACGCCCCCGAACACCCGGCCGGGGCAGCGCGCTCCGGGCGCGCAGAGGGACACGCGGGCGCATCGCGCGAGGGAGTCGCGGACGCGGGACGGTCTCCTGCACGCCCGGGCTCCGCGGGGGGACCGTCCATCCTGCTGCCGCGGGGCCCCGGCCGAGCCTCCCACGCCCCTTCCTGTCCTCGCGGGGCAGCGGTCCGCCGCGTCCCCGAGGCAGCGCGCACCGCCCGCGGGCAGCCGCTCAGACCACGCAGCCGGGGGACGAGGGAGGGAATGAGCTCCGTCCGGTGGTGCTGACAGCCTGCATCCGCAAGGGCCGTGTTTGATGGACGGGACTGAACTCCTGGGGACACCTTCCCAGGCGGGACGGGGGCGGGCGGGAGGACGGCCGCGCTGTGCGGAGCTGAGTCCGTTTTTATCCCCGCCGCTAGGCCCTCACCGCCATGGCCACCGAGCCCCACCGCCACCACCTCTGCGCTAGAGGGCTTTCTGCGGCCCGGACCGACGGACCGACGGTGGAGCGGTTCCAATGAGATAAAGGACACGAAAGCTGACAGACAAGGAAACATCTGGGTAAGTTTTCAAGGAAATGGATGGGCATCTGAGCAGGAAGAGAGATCAGGAGATGGAACGACTTGGAATGGGACACGGCGACCTTTTCCAGAAACTGCAGGATCCTTCACCAAAAGCCGTGTCCCCACCAGGTCTCTCCATGTGTGATGGTTGCTCAGCGAAGGTCTGCGTGCTGAGGCGCCAGGGTACAGCCTGCAGCGAAGCACCCCACAGCCCAGATTCGGGGGGACGGAGCGCCCTTCAGTGTTGTCCCCACGTCAGAAGCCAGTGGGCAGTGTGTACCAGACCGCACCCCGAACTCCAGACGCAAGATCGATTTTTTATTTATTTTAAAATTTACTTTCCTCCGCTTCGTCTGTGTCCTCATGCCTTCGTCTTTCTGAGATCCATGTATTTACTCATTCATGCCACCGCACAACACACAGGACGAGAGTGTGCTGGGTGCCGTCAGGGGCTCTCCATGTGTGAGCTGGGTGCTGGGTGCTGGGTGCTGGCCACGGGCTCTCCATGTGTGAGCAGAACACAGAGGAACAGCCAGTGGCAGGAGGGGCCAACAGCACAGTCCACGGCCACTTCCCCGAGGGAAGGTAGAGGGTCGGGCTGGAGAACTGCAGGGGCCACCAGTCGGCTCGTGGGTCAGGGAACAGCCTAGGGAGCCCTCATTGATAAACACCTTCCTCTTCCTCCGCTTCTCCAGAGAGCAGGTCCCAGGCGTGGGTTTGGGCCCAGGCATTGGTGTGGAGGGTGCCTCCAGGAAACAGGAGAGAGGACACCGGATGGACGGGTTTCCAAGCTGGCCACCCGTGGACAACGGGGCTCAGACTGGCTCGGCCTCGGGAAGGCCCGGGGGATGCACCCGGAAGGCTGGCAGGCAGACAGTTTTTGTCTGACTTCCATCACCCAATGATTGACACTTGCACTCCCACCCCTATCTCCTCCTCCCCCCACCCCCCAGGTTCCTCTGGCTGAGCAGCTCCCAGAGCTTCAAAGAAAGCCTGGAGGTCGACCCACAGGGTTTGAGGTGCCAGCAGGGAGGTCAAGGGGACATTCAGCACCAGATTGAGGACAGTTTCCACTTCTGTCAGAGCAGGAAAAGCCAGGCAGGGAGGGCTGCTGGCCAGGAGAGCGGGGGAAGGTGGGGTGCGGGGGCAGGTGGGGTGCGGGGGCGTGGAAGGACTTGGTGCTGTGGGAGTCGGAGGAACCAGGACAACATGAGAAGTGGGAGGGCAGACGAACACATCTGCAGTGCACGTCTGCGGGCTTAAAGGACATTCACGGACTCCGAATTATACCATGGACACATGACAGTTTGTTTAAATAATTCTTTATTGTTGAAAGTATTACATGTCCCACTTTTTCCCCCAGTGACCCCCTCCAGCCCACACCCCTCTGCCCCCCAGCCTTCACTATCCTATTGTCTGCTGGACACAATGAAATTTGATGTAGGGTTCTGAGCTGGGAAATAAGATGTTCTGCATAGACAATCACTATATACCTTTTATTCTTTCTACTGGTCACAGTGCATTAGCCACGACTCCCAGCCTGACCTGGGAAAGGGGTGGAGGGAGGAGCCATGATGGCCAAAGGAAGCATCTCATTTCTCCTGGTAAACGTGGCATTCGCGGCAGGGTTTCTGCAGATGTCCTTTATCAGGTCTAAAGTGCCCCCCCCCTTCCTATTGTAGTTTGCTGGGTGTTTTTACCTTGAACTTTGCATTTTGTTGAATTATGTCAAATGCTTTTTCTGCACCTATTGATATGATCGCGTGATTTTTCTTTAGCTTGGAAATGTGACTTTTGAATGAAAGTCACATCCTCGTGGCTGCTGGGAGGAGAGAGGGAGGTGGTTGGGGGTGAGGAGACGAGTGTGGAATTGGGGAGGTCCCATTTGAAATGCCTGGACCACTCCTAGCTAGTGACCCTGCAGATGTGAGCCAGCGGGGGGGAGGGGGGGGTTCTGCGGGTGGCACACAAGGGGTGCTGTTTCGGGAGGGGCTGTGAGGAAGAGGCAGGGAGGAGGGCACACTGAGCCCCAGGCCGGGCTCGGCAGGTGCTTGGCAGGTGGTGTGTGCTTCTGAGAGCCCAGTGAGCAGCTTGAATGCAGGGACTGGTGAGTGGAGCCCCCCGGCCTCAGCAGGAGCAGGACAGCCCCGGAGGATGCAGAACACACTGGGCAGCAGAGCCGATTGCAGAGGACAGAGTGGAGGCAGGCAGTCGGGACAGGAGGAAGCATGTGGGTCCTGAGGCCAGAAGGTCGAGGGCTGGAGGGCTGCTGGGGATGCAGAGGAGAGAATGTCAGACTCACAGGCAGCCCCGCCGAGGGCAGGGGCCAGCTCGTTCCCTCTCCTCTGCACCACTCTCGTTTTTGAAGTTCTCTATCACAGTTTGGAGAGTTTTAGGCTCACAGCAAGCCTGGGGTAAAGGCAGAGATCTCCCACACACTCCTACCTTCCCATTAGCAGCATCCCCACATCTGTCACAATGGACCCGTGGTCACCCAGAGTCCACAGTGGGCATCGGGGTTCACTCTGTGTCCATTCTCTGGGTTTGGGCAGATGTATGATGACGTGTGTCCGTCATGATGGTATCACACAGAGTAGTTCCACCCATTCATCCCTCCATTCACCCCCATGGCAACCCCCGATTTATTACTGTCTCGGTAATTCTGTCTTTTCTAGAACATCGTAGGGTTGGAGTCACACGGTGCGGAGCCTTTTCAGATTGGCTTCTGTCCCTCAGTCACAGGCATTTCGTGTTCCTCTTCGTCTGTCCATGCCTTGATAGCTCATTTCTTTTCAGCTGAAGAATCCATTGTCTGATGGTCCCACGGTTGACCTGCCACCTACAGAAAGGGCATCTTGGTTGCTTACAGGTTCTAACAATTATGAGTGAAGCTGCTGCTAACTGTTGTGCAGGTTTTGCGTGGACAGTCGTTTCCCCTCACTTGGTTTGCTGGGTGGCATGGTAAGAGTATGCTTCGTTTTGCAAGAAACAGTCAAACCCGTAAGTGGCTGCACATCTTCATTTCCACCAGCAGTGAGCGCCATCCCCAGGGCCCCTCTCCTCACCAGCACCTGGTGTGGTCAGTGCCTGGAATTTGGTCTTTCCAATCGGAGTGCAATGGTGGCTCACTGGGGCTTTAATTTGCATCGCATTGCATTTGCCCGATGGTGGCACATCCTTTCCTATGCTATTCACCACCTGCATATCTCCTGTGTCTATTAAGGTCTTTGGCGCTTTTGTTAATCATTGTTCCTTTTTTCAATCTCAACCTGACCCGATACTTCAGACACAAATTGGCTGGGTATGTGGTGTGTGTTCCGGTGTGTTTTTTAACCCTGTTTTGATTATGTACGTGGCGTGTGTTCTGTCTTTTAAAAGCCCTCCAGCTCCGACCCCACTTCCCCGATCCCAGTGGAGAGGGATCTACATTCAATGTGCTCAGTGAATTCCCATCAAGCTTGGGCCTCCACCAGCCGACAGAATCACTGCCGGCAAGGTCACTGACCACTGCACTTGACACATCCGATTGTCTGGGATGGGCCTCACCTCACGCATCAACACCCCGAGAGACAAAGGACTTCTGTGGCTTAGCCTCCAGGGCAGCCCCGAGGGCGGTCCTCGGGGAACGGCGGGCCTTGGGTCCCCAGACCACACACGGGGGGCCACTGGCCACCTCTCTTCTGCCCCAGCCCAACACCCCCTCAGTCAGAATCTCTTTTGCTCAGTCTTCAAATACACCCCCAAATCCAGCCACCTCTTCCCGCAGCTGCCCATGCTAGCCCGCCTCCAAGGCCTCCGCGGGCTTCCATGCTCCCCGCACCACCATCTCTGGGGACAGTGGCCCCAGGGACTCCTCCAGATGTCAGATGGTGTCACTGTGGGATCTGGAACCAGCCCCGATTCCAGATCCCATCGCAGCCGGCTGGAAAACCTAAGGCGGACGCCCTCCCGCGCCCTGGAGTCTGACCCCATCCCTCCTCCCTCCCCTGCCCGGCACTGTGCCCTCACACTGGCCACGGGGGGGGGGGGGGGGGGACTGCTCCCCGACACAACCCTCAGGGCCTGGGGACACGTGCTGGCCCTGCTTCGAGCCCCGCTCAGATTCTCTGAGGCTCCCCGATTCCCCACCTACCCCCCCTTCCTACTGCCCTTTCCCCCCATGCTCTCATCTCCCTCACACTGTCACCCCACCACTCGCGGGGGCACCCCAGCGTGCACAACAGTGACCGACACAGCTCGGAAATACGTTTCCCAAGGCGTACACCCGGGGAGGGGGGCGAACCCAGGTCCCCGGGAATGGGGCGGGGGGCTGCACCTGGCGGCGGCCCTGCCCAGGTGTGCGGGCGGGCGCCGGCTGCTGTGGGACCCCCTTTCCCCTCGGCCCGCGCAGCAGCCTCCGCTCCCGGGCGCCCCGCTGATCCCGCCCGGGCACCCCTCTGGCCCCGACCGCTCCGCCGCGCGGTCCGGCGCCCTCGGGGTTCACTTTCCTCTGCGTGTGCGCGGAGCAGAAGCGCTCGGAGGCCACGCCCACATATCCCCGAGAGCCAATCCGGAGCAGGGGCGCGGCTGGTGGCACCAATGGTGGAGGCCCTGGGCCCGGATTGGGCACGCCGCTGTTGTGGGCGGGTCCACAGGGGCGGATACGGAAGCGGCGCTGGGAACCCGGAGGCAGGTCGGGGACCCGCATGGCTGCGGCGCGGAGGCACGGTAGGCGCGGGGCGGGGGGCGCGGGGCGCGGGGGAGGCCGCCGCTCGGACAGCTCTCGGCGCAGGCCCGGCCCACGTCCCGCCGGACTCCACACCCGGTCCCCGGTCGCGTCCGGATCCGCAGCCCAGCTTTGGTCCGAGGGGCGGGGGCGGGGGTTCAAGGCCCGTGGGGACCCCAGGACCGGCGGGCCCCGCTCAGGAGTAACTGTCCTGGGGGCGGAGGGCGGGGCTGCAGGGGTGACTTACCTGGACACTTCGCGACTTAAATGGCGGTGCTCGCATTTCCCTGCAACTTAGGCGCCTCGCAGGGCACCCAGTAGCGATTGAGGGACCGTGTGTTTACCCAGCGCCAGCGGCGGCGCGTCGTCGCCATGACCCCGCGACCACCGTCACCATGGAAAAGGGACGCTTCCTGGGGCCCGGCGTCCGAGACCCGGGGCTGGCAGCCCTGCCTAAGTTTAAGGTCGCGGCCTGATGACGCCACGGGCGTGGCCGCTCCAACCACCGCCTCCTGTGGTGGCAAACGTGACTCGTGGGGTGGCCGCTGTGGAGTTCGCTCCGCAGCCGCGACTTGGGCAGCACAGGGTTGTGAGCGGCCGTCCCCGCGCTGCGCCCGCCTCCCGGGACCTGCTCCCTTACATCTGGATGTTGGTGCCTCTCCACCCGGTCCCCCCCTGGCCTCCGGCAAACACCAGCCTGTTCTCACCGTTAAAACGGAGGATAGCATTCTGGCCCTTTGAAATGAAAAGCCAGGGGCAACTATAGTCAATAAGCATTTGCTTAAAATGAGAAAAGGAGACTGATGTGTCAGCGAGGCAGAATGCGGGAGCAGGAAGTGCAGCGCCCCACCACCCGCCCATCGGCCTCCGAGGAGCCCCCTGTGCTCCCTGCCCTCCCAGGAGCACAGAGTCGTGGCTTTCAATTGCCCGGTCCGGTGAGGCCCCAGAATGGACGGACAGATGTGAGTGACACCCACCTACGTGCCATGTCGCACCGTCTGCGGGATGGCTGTGCAGTCACACGGTGCGGGCCCTGGGAGCAGGCCTGACCCAGGGGCTGGCGCACCCCCTCCTGCTTTCCAGCCTTTTGATCGGGGTTCCCTCTGCTTCACCCAGGTTTTCCTTGTTTCTCGGACTTCATTGTTTCCTGCCTTCAGTGCTCTGCCCTGTGCAGGAAGTTACTGGAATCTGAATGCACCTGGTCCGCCTCAGCGGGGTGTTGCTTTAGACCGGTGGTCGGCAAACTGCGGCTCGCGAGCCACATGCGGCTCTTTGGCCCCTTGAGTGTGGCTCTTCCTAAGCCTTAGGAGCACCCTAATTAAGTTAATAACAATGTACCGACCTATATAGTTTAAGTTTAAAACATTTGGCTCTCAAAAGAAATTTCAATCGTTGTCCTGTTGATATTTGGCTCTGCTGACTAATGAGTTTACCGACCGCTGCTTTAGACCAGTGGTTCTCAACCTTGGCTGCACATTAGAATCGCCTGGGAATCTTTTTAAAATCCTGATTTCTGGGCCTCATCCTCCGGAAATTCTGTTTCTTTGTTACTAACGTTGTGGCCTCACCCCATCACAAAGACGCAGAATTTCCAGAGGATGAGGCCCAGAAATCAGGATTTTAAAAAGATTTCCAGGCGATTCTAATGTGCAGCCAAGGTTGAGAACCACTGATGTAGAGAGAGGGAGAGACAGACAAGACAGACAGACAGAGAGAAACAACGATGTGAGAGAGGAACGTTGTACACACTGCAGCGGGGACTGAGCCTGCAGCCAAGGCACGTGCCCTGACCAGGAACCAAACCCGCGGCTTTTCACGGCACCGAGCAGTGCCCCACCACTGAGCCACACCAGCAAGGCCACACCCGGTCTACTTTTTACAGCCTTGGCCAGCTCACTGAACTGAGATGACTGAAACCTTTCTTATCTTCATCAGTCAAAGACACATCTTCCCCAAAACCAGCCTTCTTTTCTCTGTTGGAAATGGGACAGAATTGTGGAGTGGAGTTAGGCTGTTTGAGAACATTGTGTTTGGAAGCTTGGATTCATATGTCTTCAAAGTGTAAGGTGGACGTGGGAACCGTGTCAGTGCTGTGTGTCTTCTCTCTCTCTTTTTTTTTTAATTAATCTTCACCCATGGATATTTTTCCATTGATTTTCAGGGACAATGGAAGAGAGAGGGAAAGACAGAGAGAAACATGGATCTGAGAGAAACACATCAATTGGTTGCCTCCTGCATGTGCCCCAACCAGGGCACAGGCCAGGGAGGAGCCTGCAACAAAGGTACGTGCCCTTGACCAGAATCGAACCCGGAACCCTTTGGTCCACAGACCGACACTCTATCCACTGAGCCACACCGGCCAGGCTGTCTCCTCCTCTTCACAAGCCCCCGGAAGAGAACTCCACTGGGGCCACACTGGGCTCTGAGCCACACTTACGGGAGTTTGTGGTCGGAACGGATTCGAGTGCTTGGGCTTTGTTGAAGCGTGAAAGCCTGAGGCGTCCTGTCGTCCGTTTTCACACCTTGTGGCTCGGGATGACTTACAATTAGGGAGATGTGTGACGGTGGAGGGCGGTGGCCTGCACTTGCCCTGCTCTCCAAGAGCGCTGGGTCCCACACGGCGGGGAGGACACGGGCCACGTGGGCATTTACGGAAGGGAAGCGAGCACGCGCTAACTCCCGGGAAGTAGACACACAGAACCCGTATTAACCGGTCCACGCGGGAGCTGGGGATGCCACGGGACCAGCCAGCAGCTTGGCTCTGCCGTTCCGGCGGTTCCCTTGGGGGAGGGGGTGGTTGCATCTCCAGAGCAGCACGCTTGCGTTTGGAAAGGACAGACTCAGCTCTGGGCCCCTTGCTCAGAGCGGTGCCGCGGATTCCCCAATCGGTGCCCAGCTCCGGGCTGGCGGGAGGTTGGGCCTGGCAGCAGCACGCCCTGAGTAGGAAGTACGTGTGTTTGAAATGTGCTCTTTTGTGCTGGAAAGTTGTCGCCTGGGAGGTAACTGAAGTGAACCCGGAGGGCCCACGTCCCAGGTGTGGGCAGTGGCTTCCTTCCTGCTCGGACTGCGGGGGGGACTCAGACGGGATGCAGGGCTGTCGGGCAGGCCCTCGTGCTGGCACTCAGAGGAGGCAGAGCGGAAAGAACTCCCTGCACTTGCATCCCGGGGTGGGGAAGGCGTCGGGATCCTGCCATCATGCGGCAGCTGCCGGTGGGCCTGGGGCTCCTGCTGCATTTTGTGGGCGCCCCCCCCTCCCCCAGCTCGCAGGTGCTGGCCCCGGGTGACTGCACAGTTAACTGCAGAGTGAATGGCCCAGCACAGCGCCCCTGCCACCTCCTCACGGGCCTCCTGTCCTGTCCAGACACCTGGGGGTCCTGGGGGGACAGGGCTGGGGGTCCTGGGGGGACAGGGCTGAAGTCCTGGGGGGACAGGGCTGGGGGTCCTGTGGGGACAGGGCTGGGGGTCCTGTGGGGACAGGGCTGGGGTCCTGGGGGGACAGGGCTGGAGTCCTGGGGGGACAGGGCTGAAGTCCTGGGGGGACAGGGCTGGGGGTCCTCTGGGGACAGGGCTGGGGGTCCTGGGGGGACAGGGCTGGGGGTCCTGGGGGGACAGGGCTGGGGGTCCTGGGGGAACAGGGCTGGGGTCCTGTAATGACAGTCACCTTTCTTTCTGGTATTAATATTAGAATATGTCTTTGTTTTAAGTAAATTCTATATGCAATTTAAATAAAACTGCTTTAAGTAATTCTCTTTTTTTGTTTTGTTTTTTTGTTAATTGGTTGCATTTTAGTGTTTGTTGAAAAAGTGCTGAAGAGACTTTTTCCTCAGGATCCACGTGGCCAAGAAAAGAGGGCGTGTCCGCCTGCGGCCTCCGAAACCCCTCCCGAGAAGGAGCGATGCCGGCGCGTCCCCCCGTTGGCAGGTGAGGGGCTCGTAGGTCACGGGGAGTCACAGACGCACACCTGGCTCCACCACGGCCGTCTGTCTGCAAACTGGTCGGATGGACAGGACCGCCGGCCAGCCCTGCGGGAGGGACAAGGGCTGGGGACTGGGTTCTCACTCTTCACAGAATGTGCCTGTTGGGGGCTGAATGGTGTCTTTGGAAACTCACACGAAATGCACACAGAGGGGCGGCCCTGTGAGGACACGGGGGAGACAGCCGCTGCACCCCCAGGAGAGGCCTGGTCTCCACTTCCAGCCGGGACAGAGGGATGTCTGTTGTTGGGGCCCCGGGACGGGGGTTGTCAGCTAGGAGCTCAGTTCTCCGTCCCACGTCCGTGTGGAGCCTCGGGCCCCTGAGGCCGGGCCAGGGCTGGGCGCTCAGGTCTGGAACGTGGTCCGGACGGGGAGCAGTTGGATGTGCCACAGACACGGAGGGGTGGCTGCGCCGTCTCCGGGAGGAATACTCCGAGCCATGCTCTCTCTCAAGACGAGACCGGGTTTCACTCTAAAGTGTTGAAACCGTCGGGGACCGGGGGAAGCTGGGAGCTCTGCCCTGAGGGCCTTCGGACAGCAGCGGAGCACAGGGCAGGAGACTGTCACTACCTCGTGAGAACTAAAACCCTGCCCGCAGCGAAGTCGGAAGGCAAACAGTCAGCTGGAAAAGATGTGGCAGCTCGGGCCTGGGTGAGGGTTCCCTTCCGTCAGGAATCAAGAGCTCGTGTGCTAGTAAGAACATGAGCCACAGCTCCAGAGAGACACGGGCACAGGAGAGTGACGGGCGTCACGGAGAAGATCCACGTGGCTCTTCAGCATCACGCCAGGCTCCCTCTGCTGGCACCGCGAGGCCCACGTGAGGGTGGTCCTGGGACGTTCCCACGAGTCAGGCTGTCGGGAATTTGCTGACACGTGTTAGGAAGGGCGGGCAAGCACTCGGCCTGGCTGTGGGGAGAATCGCTGCGGCCCGTCCACGGAAGGCCGTGGGAACCCATGAAAGGTTACAAGTGCACACCAGGGCTCGGCAGTCACACCTGAGCCATTTTACCTGAACTTGAAGCTCCAGGGCCGGGAACAGGCGTGTTCAAGTTATTCATGACATCATCGCTCAGAGCAGCAGGAGCATGGCGGGAGTCTGCATGTCCGTTCGCAGGAGAAGAGCAGCCTTGTCCCGGGGAAGGCGCTCGTGCCCGCAGGAAGGGGCAGCGCCGGGTGATGCCAGGAGGGGCAGCAGCATGGAGACACTGGCCGCGGCGTCCGGGAGGGGAATGGCGTGTGTTGTTGGCACCCACATGAGTCGCCTGAGGAACAAAGGCAGGAGGACATGACTGCGGGAGCTGCCTCGCGGAGAGGGCGGCGTCCCGCACGTCCGGCGTTTACCTGGCGCCGGGTGGTTTCAGCACCTATTAGCATGTAATAAATAGAATCCTCTAAAGTTGTGTTCATTTTACCAAGCTTAAGGGATCTCACCACCCACACCTCACTGAGAGAACAATAAAGCATGTGTTTCACAGAAACAAAAAAGGAGCCTCGAGAG